GGCTCTCCCGGGTAAATCATCTTCACCACCACCATCATAAGCGTCACCAGCCATTGTCTATCCACTGCTGGATGAAGGCCCGCTACCCACGCCATCGACGTTCAGTACCAGTCTTAGAGCAGCCCAGAGCGAGAGGTGGATATTCCACATTCCCTTGGTGTGGATGAGTCTGCCCGCAAATCGACCTCAACTGGACTCAAAGTGGTGCTCATTTTTACTGACGGTGGGCTGTGTTTGACCCCAACTTTTATTTGACCTCGTGACCTTGCGATTGTGAGTCGACCGCTCTGATCACAGCGACCACTCCCCCCCACGCCGGGAAGATAAATGAAGTACCATGACAATGATGATGATGGTGATTGTACGACGCCGTGCTGGCTCGTCTCTGATTCTCTCTCTCTCTCCTCCGCTCTCCCGCTCTACCCTGTCTTGCTCTCCCTCTGTCTCCCTCTCTTTCTGCTCCCCACACCCATCCCCGGTTCTCTCTCTTGATCACTCGGCCGTGTCAACCCAAAAAACCCGCTCCTTTCAGGGTTTTTGGGGGGGTTCTTTTTTGGTCGAATCTCATGGGGCGGCGTGTGGGGAGCGGTGGCGCTGTGGTTGGCGCGCGCGACCGAGAAGAGCGGCGAATATCCGAACCTCTCTCTCGCTACTGTAAAACATCTCTAGCTACTGTAAAACATCTCTCTCGCGCCTGTAAAACATCTCTCTCGCTCCTGTAAAACATCTCTCTACTGTAAAACATCTCTCTCGCTACTGTAAAACATCTCTCTAGCTACTGTAAAACATCTCTCTCGCTCCTGTAAAACATCTCTCTAGCTACTGTAAAACATCTCTCTACTGTAAAACATCTCTCTACTGTAAAACATCTCTCTCGCTACAGTAAAACATCTCTCTACTGTAAAACATCTCTCTCGCTCCTGTAAAACATCTCTCTACTGTAAAACATCTCTCTCGCTACAGTAAAACATCTCTCTACTGTAAAACATCTCTCTACTGTAAAACATCTCTCTCGCTACAGTAAAACATCTCTCTACAGTAAAACATCTCTCTACTGTAAAACATCTCTCTACTGTAAAACATCTCTCTCGCTCCTGTAAAACATCTCTCTCGCTCCTGTAAAACATCTCTCGCTACTGTAAAACATCTCTCTCGCTACTGTAAAACATCTCTCTACTGTAAAACATCTCTCTACTGTAAAACATCTCTCTACTGTAAAACATCTCTCTCGCTACTGTAAAACATCTCTCTCTACTGTAAAACATCTCTCTCGCTACAGTAAAACATCTCTCTCGCTACAGTAAAACATCTCTCTACTGTAAAACATCTCTCTACTGTAAAACATCTCTCTCGCTACAGTAAAACATCTCTCTACAGTAAAACATCTCTCTACTGTAAAACATCTCTCTACTGTAAAACATCTCTCTCGCTCCTGTAAAACATCTCTCTCGCTCCTGTAAAACATCTCTCTCGCTACTGTAAAACATCTCTCTACTGTAAAACATCTCTCTCGCTACTGTAAAATATCTCTCTCTACTGTAAAACATCTCTCTCGCTACTGTAAAACATCTCTCTCGCTACTGTAAAACATCTCTCTCGCTACAGTAAAACATCTCTATCGCTACTGTAAAACATCTCTCTCGCTCCTGTAAAACATCTCTCTACTGTAAAACATCTCTCTCGCTCCTGTAAAACATCTCTCTACTGTAAAACATCTCTACTGTAAAACATCTCTCTCGCTACTGTAAAACATCTCTCTCGCTCCTGTAAAACATCTCTCTACTGTAAAACATCTCTCTCGCTACTGTAAAACATCTCTCTCGCTACTGTAAAACATCTCTCTACTGTAAAACATCTCTCTACTGTAAAACATCTCTCTCGCTACTGTAAAACATCTCTCTCGCTACTGTAAAACATCTCTCTCGCTCCTGTAAAACATCTCTCTACTGTAAAACATCTCTCTACTGTAAAACATCTCTCTACTGTAAAACATCTCTCTACTGTAAAACATCCTCTCTCGCTACTGTAAAACATCTCTCTAGCTCTGTTAAAAACATCTCTCTACTGTAAAACATCTCTCTCGCTACTGTAAAACATCTCTCTACTGTAAAACATCTCTCTACTGTAAAACATCTCTCTCGCTACTGTAAAACATTTCTCTCTACTGTAAAACATCTCTCTCACTACTGTAAAACATCTCTCGCTACTGTAAAACATCTCTCTCGCTACTGTAAAACATCTCTCTCGCTACAGTAAAACATCTCTCTCGCTACTGTAAAACATCTCTATCGCTACTGTAAAACATCTCTCTCGCTACTGTAAAACATCTCTCTACAGTAAAACATCTCTCTACTGTAAAACATCTCTCTACTGTAAAACATCTCTCTCGCTCCTGTAAAACATCTCTCTCGCTACTGTAAAACATCTCTCTACTGTAAAACATCTCTCTCGCTACTGTAAAACATCTCTCTCTCTACTGTAAACATCTCTCTCGCTACTGTAAAACATCTCTCTCGCTACTGTAAAACATCTCTCTCGCTACAGTAAAACATCTCTCTCGCTACTGTAAAACATCTCTCTCGCTCCTGTAAAACATCTCTCTCGCTACTGTAAAACATCTCTCTACTGTAAAACATCTCTCTCGCTCCTGTAAAACATCTCTCTACTGTAAAACATCTCTCTACTGTAAAACATCTCTCTCGCTACTGTAAAACATCTCTCTCGCTCCTGTAAAACATCTCTCTACGTAAAAATCTCTACTGTAAAACATCTCTCTCGCTACTGTAAAACATCTCTCTCGCTACTGTAAAAACATCTCTCTCGCTCCTGTAAAACATCTCTCTACTGTAAAACATCTCTCTACTGTAAAACATCTCTCTCGCTACTGTAAAACATCTCTCTCGCTCCTGTAAAACATCTCTCTCGCTACTGTAAAAACATCTCTCTACTGTAAAACATCTCTCTCGCTCCTGTAAAACATCTCTCTACTGTAAAACATCCTCTCTACTGTAAAACATCTCTCTCGCTACTGTAAAACATCTCTCTCGCTACTGTAAAACATCTCTCTCGCTCCTGTAAAACCTCTCTACTGTAAAACATCTCTACTGTAAAACATCTCTCTCGCTACTGTAAAACATCTCTCTCGCTACTGTAAAACATCTCTCTCGCTCCTGTAAAACATCTCTCTACTGTAAAACATCTCTCTACTGTAAAACATCTCTCTCGCTACTGTAAAACATCTCTCTCGCTACTGTAAAACATCTCTCTCGCTCCTGTAAAACATCTCTCTAGCTACTGTAAAACATCTCTCTACTGTAAAACATCTCTCTCGCTACTGTAAAACATCTCTCTACTGTAAAACATCTCTCTACTGTAAAACATCCTCTCTCGCTACTGTAAAACATTTCTCTCTACTGTAAAACATCTCTCTCGCTACTGTAAAACATCTCTCGCTACTGTAAAACATCTCTCTCGCTACAGTTAAAACATCTCTCTCGCTACTGTAAAACATCTCTCTCGCTACTGTAAAACATCTCTCTCGCTACTGTAAAACATCTCTCTCGCTACAGTAAAACATCTCTATCGCTACTGTAAAACATCTCTCTCGCTACAGTAAAACATTTCTCTCTACTGTAAAACATCTCTCTAGCTACTGTAAACATCTCTCTCTACTGTAAAACATCTCTCTCGCTACTGGGGAGACGGAGGCGGCCGGGCCGTGCAGGCCTTAATAGGCGCTCGCAAACAGCGCCGTGTAGGGGGGGAGCGGGAGTGTGCTGGGGGGCGGGGGGGGGGCTGGGGGGGCTGGGGGGGGCTGGGGGGGGGCTCCCGTGCCAGGGAGCGCACGGAGGGAGCGACGCGGGGCGCCGTGTGTAAACCGCGACCCGGCGTCTCGCCCGCTAATCCCCTTAGACCGACCCCGAGAGGGGGTCTCGGGGGTCCCGCAGCCAGCGGGGGGTCGCGTCGGGTCAGTGGGCACGCTTCGCCCCCCCACCCCCCCTGCAACTCGCACCCCTTCCACCCCCTCTCCATCCCCTCCACCCCACACCCCCCCCCCCTGCAACTCGCACCCCCAACCTCCACCCCTCTCCACCCTGCACCAGCCCCCTCTCTCCATCCCGCACCCCCAGCTCCTCTCACATGGCAGCTCCATCCCTGCCATGTCATCGTCTCTCCCTCCACTCCTCCCCGTCTCCCCCCCCCCCGTCTCTCCCTCCACTCCCCCCCCCGTCTCTCCCTCCACTCCTCCCCATCTCCCCCCCCCCCGTCTCTCCCTCCACTCCCCCCCCCCGTCTCTCCCTCCACTCCCCCCCGTCTCCCCCCCCCCCGTCTCTTCCTCCCGCCGTCGGTGGCGGCACAGCCGCTTGCCGCAGAGGTTCGCGGTTCGAATCCAGCGGCCGCCCCGGTAATAGCATTGAGTAACAGCGTTGACGGTTCCACTCCGCGCCAGCCGCTCCGCTCGCGGTGGGCGTTACGGAGACCCTGTGACGCCATTCGCAAGAGCAGCCCACCGCGTGCCACCGCCAACGTCCACATTTCACCACATTGAACAGTGCCTCCCGTAGGATCAGACTCACGCCTCCAGGTCCCGCCTGGTCTCCTGACTTCTCACCGGGTTACGTGACATCAAACTCACTCTCTTCTCCCCCATATTCTCCCCCCCCCCCCCCCACCAACCTCCCCCGGTCTCCGCTCATCTCCTCTCTGAACCTCTCCTCCAACCCCCCCTCCCCCCCCCGCTCATTTTCCCCTCAAGCTCCCCCGTGCCTCCTCCACCCCGACTTTTATTTTGACGTTCACTTTGATGCTGGCATCGAGCGTCTGCGAGGCGCGCCTCCCTGTGGGCTGTGCCCTGCAACTATGACTCTTACTTTGATACCGCTGCTTCCACCTTGACACTCGCGCATCACCAGACTTTCATTTTGAAAACACCATCTTGCACCATGCCTCGGCTTCGTGACTTTTAATTTGACGCCGCTCTCGCCCCTCTCGCCCTGCAGGCTGCAGAAGGACGACTTCTCGCTCAAGGTCAACATCAATGACTACCTGGACGTCTACTGCCCGTACTACGGTGCGGCGGCGGTGGCGGCGGCGGCGCTGGCCGGAGCGCCGCCGCAGGAGCGATACGAGCTGTACATGGTGGACGCGGAGGGGTACGCGCGGTGCGACGCGTCGAGCGGGTTCGTGCGCTGGCGCTGCGACAATCCCACAGCGCCGGCCACGGCGCTGCGCTTCTCCGAGAAGTTCCAGCTCTTCACGCCCTTCTCCGCCGGATTCGAGTTCCGCTCCGGCCGGGACTACTTTTACATCTGTGAGTGAAGCGGCTCTCGTCCACATTCATCGGCGGCCTGTAGCATTCGTGCGTCACCCCTCACCACAGCTGTTTCGGGTGCCCTGCTGCAGTCCAAGCCTAGAGACCCCCCCACCACCACCACCGCCCCCAAGCGGCAGCTGTCCCTACGTGGCACGAGGTGTACGCACGTAGCCATTAGTTTGCCAATCGGCGGAAATGACACTGTGTAGATTTGCCCCATCGGTGGCTTCATCGTCATCGTACGGCAATGCACTCACTTTGTTATTCGCAAGTTCAGGACCATCACCAACAGAACCACCAGAATCACCTGCATCACCTGCATCACCTGCATCGCCAACATCACCAGCATCGCCAGTGTCACCAACATCACCAGCATCATCGGCCTCAATGGCACCATTGCGGCCGGCAGATTCAACATCGCTCACCTGGAGACGGTCATCGCTGTCGTCACTGCCATCGGCAGTTTTGTCGCCACCATCGGCATCATCGTCATCATCGTCATCGCCATCACCGCCCTCATCATTTACGGAGGAACATTAAACTAAACTATTTTTTTTATTTTACGAGGTAAGGCCCACTGAGCTATGTAGCTCTTTTTTCGAAGCGACCTGACCACAGACGATAACTCCCCAAAGTGGCTTATCATCATGTGTAAATGTATAGCAGCCGAATACTCTCAATGCATGTTGATCTACATGTGGAGGGGGAAACTGAAGGACCAAGAGACAAATCTACACGGCCACGGGGAAAGGTTCTTTCCCCGTGGCCGTGTAGAACATACAAACTCAAAATCTACAGCAGGCGTCAGGGTCGGGATTGAAACCACGACCTCCTGTACACCAGGCGAGGTGGCTAACATCACCATCACCTGTGATCCTAACCCCAAATCCAACTCTAGCCCCTACAGCTGAACGAAGCAACACAATCCCGAAACACTCTCAGCTCACTAACCCCGACCCACTCCACGAGCACCACGGGACTCGTAGCCCAACCTGCAGGTCAGAGGTCAAACCGTGCTACTGCTGCAGGATCTGTCAGAGGGAAGGGGGCGATGGCACCCCACGTGGTGAGGTCGCCAGCAGCGGACGCGGTCGCCTCTTGAACTTGAGCTCCCCCCCCCAACCCCACTAGCCACCACGAGGATCTGCCTCCAAATCTGTGTGGGGATTGGGGGGCCAGCCGCCCTAAAGGGCAAAACAAATGCCGAGTAACCCAACTAACAAAGGCGCAGGCCTTTCCCACTGAGACGCTAATTGGGCCCGGGAATGCATTGCTAATTGGCTTGTGTTATGGCCTTACAAATCTTCCCATCATGCAATGCGCCAGCAACAATTTATAACTTGGGGCACCACGGTCGCTATGAGATGTTAACTACCTCGCCTGGTTTACATAAGGTCATGATTTTGATCACGACCCTGATGCCTGTTGTATATTTGGAGTTTGCATGTCTCTCCCTCCCCGTGCTCGCGTCGATTTTTCTCTGGGTCCTCCAGTATTTCCCTCAACATTTAGAACCATGTGTTTAGGGCAGGGGTGGGGAACGTCCGGCCCGCGGGCCGTATGAGGCCCGAAAATCATTTGGGTCTCTGGCCGTGCCAAGGCAACCGCAGGCGGGACTCGAAATTAAATAAGTCTAGGAGCAAACCTGGAAAAGCAGTTGCGAGTAGCAGCAACATCATCAATACCAGCTAACATCATCACCACACCTCGCCAAAGAGAAGCAGTTCCAGCCATCGCATTAGGGGTGAGTTAATTAAAAGTTTGACCAAATATAACGGGCTAATTTTTAAGTTGATCATTTTTATATGGCCCCTCGAATGATGTTCTAAATATCCAAATGGCCCTTGGCAGAAAAAAAGGTTTCCCACCCCTGGTTTAGTGGCTGTACATATCCACTTGATAAGCTACTTCTTTGAGCTATTATTTGTGGCCAAGTGGTTTCTGAAAATATAGCCCAGTGGGCCTTATCTGGTCCAATAGAAATAGTTTCGTTTTAGTTTAACTTTACTTTGAATACAAATTAGTTTTTTTAGTCGGAAATACGTTGTGATTATTGAAGGGGGTTTCTTTATTGCCCAATAGCTACAATCAGACTGGCTATTCACGTGCCAAATTGAAAATCTGGTGATGAGAAAATATATTTGAATTGTTACTTCTCTCAGGCCCCACGATGTAAACCAGTGCTAGTCTTCATCTCTGTTGTCCACTGTGTCTCTCGTGCTATGAAGGATCATAGTCCAAAACGTCGCCTATTTATCTTGTATCAAGCGAGGGGCTCAGAGAGGTGGATTGTGGGACGCTGGTGCAGCTTCGTGAGCAGCCGATTTAAAACACAAATTCACTCACACACACACACTCGCACATACGCACACATACACGCACAAAGACAACGTTCCCCCAATGTAGCCTTAATAGACTGTTGGGGACAAGTGCTCTTACTTAGCACTTGTTAAGACTGGCATGGTACACACGCACGCACACACACGAGAGAGGGTGGGTGACCAGCACCATGCCTGGGGCCGCCTTTGTCTCCCCATTGTTGATATCTTATTCTAATTCAAGGCCAAGTCGATCTAGTGGAGGCTCGAGAACCGGATGAGATATTCGCTTTTACTCTTATTGGTTGTGAGCGGGAATAGACCTCGGGTGGCCCGGTTTGTGGCGCAGTGCGCTAACCACTGCACTACCGCCCCCTAAACGATATATACATGCACACATGCGGAAACGTGCATGTGTGTGTAGTGGTTAGCGCTACGCTGCGCTACTAACCTGGCCACCCGGGTTCGATTCCCGCTCACGGGGCCAACACCCAGTGACGATTATCTGAACCGGTCCTGGGCCTCGCCTAGGTCGACTCAGCCTCAAAGGAGTACCTGGTGCGATGTTTAAACATGCCAGTCTCAATAAGTGCTCAGTAACATTACTTGTCCACCAACAGTGGCGTTGGCCACCCAACCCCTCGTGCGCTGTGCCGGCCTTCATAGGTGCTCGCTAACAGCACTTACACCTTTGTTCCCACATAAAAGACAGAAGGCCTTTAACAGACTCTTGGGGCAAGTGCTGTTAGCGAGCGCACACACTATATATATGAAGGTCGACACGGCACATGAGGGAGGTGGGTGGCCAGCACACCCACACACAAGCACATGAAGACAAAGGTCCCCCATATACCCTTAACAGACTTTTGGGGCAAGTGCTGTTCGCGAGCAGCACACACATACACCGGCATGCATGCATATGTACCCGTATACACTCATGCACAAACGCACGCATGCATATTCACACGCACACACACACGGTGCTGAAAGAGAGAATTAAACAGGAGCTCTGCGGGCTGCAGGGCCGTGATTTACACTGACAGCCGAGACGAAATTGCACTTGATTGAGCTGCGGAGGTGATGGATCTTAGTGCACACACACAGACAAATACACACACAGACAAATACACACACACACACCAATATCTATAAACACACAGATCCCCCAAATAGCCTTAACAGACTGGAGAGGCAAGTGCTGTAAGTGTGTACCTATGCAGATTGGAACGGTACACGTGGGGGTGAGTGGCCAAGACTACGCGCGACCACCTTTGTATCCCTAGCGGCGATGTTTACACACCGCACCAAGTACTCATTTAAGGCTGAGTCGACCTAGGGGAGGCCTTGGACTGGTTCACATAATCGTCACTGGTCTTGGCCGTGATTGGGAATCGAATCCGGGTCGCCAGGTTCGTAGCGCAGCGTGCTAACGGCTACACTAACTCCTACACTATCGCTCCCCTACCGCTCCCCACTTTATACACACACACACCAATAAACACACATACACACCCCAATAAACACGCACACACACCAATACACACAAACACCAATACATACCCACACCAGTAAACACACACACACACCAATATATATACACGCCTATTAACACACATACACACCAGTAAACACATACACATCAATAAACACACACACCAATAAACACACACACACCAATAAACACACACGCCAATAAACACACATACACACACCCCAATAAACACGCACACACACCAATACACACAAACACCAATACATAACCACACCAGTAAACACACACACACACACCAATATATATACACGCCTATTAACACACATACACACCAGTAAACACACACACATCAATAGACACACACATCAATAGACACACACATCAATAGACACACACACCAATAAACACACACACATACACACCAATAAACACACGCAATGACACACACCAATAAACACACACACCAATAAACACACGCACACCAATAAACACACACACCAATAAACACACATACACACCCCAATAAACATGCACACACACCAATACAAACATACACCAATACATAACCACACCAGTAAACACACACCAATATATACACACGCCTATTAACACACACACACACCAGTAAACACACACACACATCAATAAACACACGCACCAATAAACACACACACACACACACACCAATAAACACACGCACCAATAAACACATACACCAATAAACACACACGCCAATAAACACACATACACACCCCAATAAACAGGCACACACAACAATACACACATACACCAATACATAACCACACCAGTAAACACACACCAATATACACACACAGACCAATAAATACACACACATCAATAGACACATACACACCAATAAACACACATACCAATAAACACACACACACCAATAAACACAACAACAACAACCGCCATTCGCCACTAAGTGGCGGTGACGTCACCACGACTCTTGTGCCAGGCTATGTGCACCTTGAGGCCACGTGAAGTGTTGAACGCCCGCTGGCAGGAAGTCACGGAGCAGACCCAGGTGCCACGGGTCGACTGACTGAGATGAGTGGCTGATGCACCACCTGTGCCCCCTACTGTGCCAACCCGCTGTGCTTTAGCCACCCGGCGCTCCGCTCGTTATTGTGAGCGTCGCTCCTCCGCCCTCCGTTGTTGTTGGAGGGCGACTGCCTCCAACTGCCCAGTAGCGTCCTTCACGAGCCTCCTCCACAGAGGCCGATCTTGACACCGCTGGTACCAGTCATCGGCAAGTCCACTCAGCTCCACGTCCTCCCGTACCACATCACTCCATCTCTTCTCTAGCCCGTGCCGCGCCCGTTTAGCCCCCTCGATCCGGCTGAACAAAAGCTGTTTCGGCATGCGGTGGCTGGGCATGCGGGCTACATGACCCAGCCAACGCAGCCTTGCCTGCCGGAGGAGCTCACCGATGGGACCTTGCCCAGATCTTTCGAAGATTTGTGAGCTCCTCAGACAATCCAGCCTGGTTAAACCCAAGATGGATCGTAGGCAGGCTTGCCTAAATGTTACTAACCGGCAAATATGTTTCATTAGGGGGGTCCACGTTTTGCAAACGTAGAGAACAGAGGGAATGACTATGGCCGAGAAGACCTGAAGCTTAGTGCGGAGCGACAGACCAGGTAGCTTCCACACAGCATTATGCAACCGATGAAAAGATATTGCCGCTCGACTGATTCGGAGTGAGACCTCTGCTGTTAAACTGGAGCCGGTCATAAGCACACTGCCCAGGTATGGGAAACTCTCTGCTCTCTCCACAACTGCCCCATCACGGATTGGGAGTTGTGGGGGTGGAGTGTCCGATAGTACAAAATACCCAGGCAGGTGCTTAGTTTTGGTGGGGCTGATTGTAAGGCCCCACCTCTTAGTGGCACACTCCAGTCTCAGCAGCAGCGTCTCCAACTCCTCCTCTGAAAGAGCAGCTATTACCAAATCATCGGCATACATAACCTGGTTGAGCAATAGGGAGCCATTCCTTGACCGCACCCGGGCATCGATCAGCCTCCCATTATATCTTTACCAAATGGAGATTCCCCCGGTACAGCTATTGAAGGCTTCACGAACTACGTGGCCAAAATAGATGTTAAATAATGTGGGAGCCAAAGGACATCCCTGTCGTACCCCAAGGTGTACAGGGAATGGCTCTGACTCCCGGCCACTTAGTTTTACCCAGGCCTGCTCACCATCATGAAGGTCCTTAATGATTGTGAGCAGAGGGTCAGGGACTCCGAAAGCACGAAAAACAACCCAGAGCCCAGGCTTACTGAGGTATCATAGGCCTTGACCAGGTCAATAAAGCAGAGATGTAGGTCTTGTTGAAATTCCCTACACCTCTGCTGTAGCAGACGGACATAAAATGTGGCATCTGTGCAGGACCGCCCTTTCCTGAAACCGCATTGGGGCTCCGCATGCCTCTCCTCAGCGTGCCTAGCAAGGCGATGTTGAATCATCCTTGCCAGGACCTTTCATAACACACACACGCATACACACAAACACATGCACATAAAACCATTCACACATGCCCAAAATACAACGAAACACACAAACTCTCACATCCGCAACCACCTATACAGTCGTCCACAAACAACAACCGCCGTTCGGCACTGAGTGGGAGTGACGTCACCACGGCGATTGTGCCAGGCTAGGTGCACCTTGAGGCCGCCACGTGAAGTGTGGAAGACTCGCTGCTGGCAGGAGGTCACGGGACAGACCCGGGTGTCATGGGTTGACTGAGATGACTGGCAGATGCACCAGCTGTACTCTCTACCCACCCACATCGACCTCTCATCCACATGCAGACACCATGGACACTTCCATTGACACGCGCGCACACACGGGAATCAAACTCAGATGTGTGGTTTCATAGAGCAACGGGCTAACCACTGCCTCACCGCTCCCCTCGTATATACGTGTGTCTGTGTTAATTGGTGTGCGTGTGGAGCGGTAGTGTAGCGGTTTGCGCGCTACGCTACGGACCCGGTGATCCGAGTTCGATTTCCGCTTATGGCCAACACCAGTGACGATTATCTGAACTGGTCATGTGCCTCCCGTAGGTCGGCTCAGCCTCAAATGAGTACCTGGTGCGGTGTGTTAAACATCGGCCGAGCATGGTGCTGGTCATCCAATTTCCTCGTGTGCCGTGCCGGCCTTCATAGCTGTTCGCTAACGGCACTTGCCCCAACAGTCTGTTAAAGGCTACATGGGGGGGGGGTCTTTGTCTTTGTGTGCGTGTACTGCAGCCGCACCTGCAGATTCCAAAGACAAAAGCAACAGCAACCACAACAGCAGCAACAACCACAAGTGCCTGCGTCTCAAAGTGTCCGTCTGCTGTGCCCCAAGTAAGTTAGTCCCCCTACTACCCCCCCACTACCCCACCCCCCCTCTCTCCCACCCCTCTCCTCTCACCCCCTCCCTCCCTTCCCCTTCCAATCAGCGGCAGATCCTCAGTGGGGGGTGTGGGGGGCGATTGACCCCTCCTTCAGACCCCAATGTTGGTTAACTTAATTGATATTTAAGAGAGAAAAGGTTGAATGGCATTATTGTTATTATTGTTAACTCGCCTTTTGCCCGTCCAACGACGGGTGTATCGCAGTAAATCTGAAACTTTCAAGCGAACAGCAGACTGCAACATGATATATTCATTGCATCAATGCGTGTGCAATTTGTAAGGGCGCGGTGACACAGACCTATTTCATTTGAAGGTTATAATCCCTTGTTCATTATGACGTCCTTTTTACTTCGATGTCTCAACAACAGCATTACGGAGATCACGTGACGTGAGGGTTCTGCCTTTGTAGTGAGGGTTGTGAGTTGACGCCGAGGAGGGGGGAGGAGGCGCCTCGCCCCCATGTGGAGTGACGTCACCCGCTAATTATTATTAATGAGGGGGGGGGGGTCCATGTGGAGGACGTAACCTGTTCATGATTATTTATGAGTCTTTATGTGAGTCTATTGATCTCAGTATGACTCTACAGATCTCTGTGTGAGTCTATCGGTCTCTGTGTCAGTCTATGGGTCTCTACGTGAGTCTGTTGGTCCCAGTGTGAATCTATGGGTCTCTTTGTGAGTCTATGGGTCTCTGTTTCAGTTGATGGCTCTCTTTGTCATAGACTCTATGGAGTCTCTTGCTGCTGTGATGCCCCCCACCCCCTCGTCCTCCTCCGCATTTGAGAATCGCGCCATGCCGTTGCCATTCCCCCGTGTGACCCTCTCCTCTCCTCGTCCCTGCCCTGTGTGCATTCCCCTCCACCACCCTGCCGCGCCATCGCCGCTTCTCCACCCTCCCCCGCCCCCCGCTGTGCGCCAATCAGCAACCCGAACCACCACCCCCACCCCCAGCAGCCCCCCGCAGAGGAAGCAACGGCCACGCAATCATCAGGGTGAGTGCTTGCTCACCTGCCCGCTCACCTACTCCTCACCCGCTAACGCACCCACCGCAGCCGCTAACTCGCCCACTCGCTCTACCACCCACTGATTCACTCACCGACCCACTGATTCACCCAACCATACGTGTCATCTACCCACGAACTCATCTACCCGCTAACTCACCCATCTACCTTCTCACTCGCCTACCCACTAATTCATTCACCTACCCACTAATTCACTCACCTACCCACTAATTCACTCACCTACCCACTAATTCATTCACCTACCCACTAATTCACTCACCTACCCACTAATTCATTCACCTACCCACTAATTCACTCACCTACCCACCAACTCACCTCCCTACTCATACACTTACTACTTCACCCACCCACCAACGCAATGCTTCTCAGAAACTCACTGGGCCCGGGTGGGTGGGTGATTGTTGCGGAGAGAGAATTCACGATTCCTCGCTGGTGCTGATCTTATATCGAGAACAAGGAAATCGGGGGGAGGGGGGGCGCTGACAAAATCCGCGAAAATAATTTGTCCAGCTGCAGGAGGGCCCTCGGTGTCCGTGCGAGTGTCTCCGCGTCTGTCTGTATCTCTGCGTCTGTCTCTGCGTGCCTCTGCACGTGTCGCTGTGTCTGCCCGACTGCGGATGCGCGACAGAGAGATGGTTGACGGAGGTGGGGGTCGACGGTTGTCTGCTGCTGCTGCTGCTGCTGCTGCCGTGCTGTGTCGGGGCAGGGGCGGGGCGGGAGGGGGGGTGAATGAGGTCCCTCCCTGTGGGTTCCTAAAACACAGCAGCGCACCTGGGGCGGCCGCGTGCTGCCGCGTTGCACGCCGGTCTGCGAAGCGATGCTTCAACTCGGCACCGCTCGCATTCTGGCTTCGACTCCGGGGTTTGACCGCCGGGCCCCCGCCCCCCCCCCCCCCCCGGTGGAGCCAGCGAGTGAGCTGACGGCCACGTCGCGGGTACAGACGTTACATCCGCGTTGGGAATCTGAACATTTATTCATACTATAGGAATCCGATGAAGTGCAAAGCTCTTTGTTACAGATGTGAAAGTGGCGGACCAGGTAAGAGTTTTGCAAAAAAATGCCGCGACAAAGGTTTAACAAGAAGAAAACCCCCTTCCTCGCGTTCCCTCACTCGTGCGCCCAATTGCCCCCATTATTGGTGGCTTGCGAGGGCGCGCGCTTCCACTCACTTGCCCACTCTCTCTCCCACTCTCACGTCCACTTGCCCACTTTCTCTCTCCCACTCTCACGTCCACTTGCTCGCTCGATTGTCCGCTCGCTCGCTTGTCCGCTCTCTCACCCGCTCGCCCACTCTCACGCCCGCTCGCTCGCCCACTCTCTCACTCTCCCGCCCGCTCGTTTGCCCGCCCGCTCGCTCGGCCACTCTCTCACTCTCCCGCCCGCTCGCTCGGCCACTCTTTCTCCCGCTCGCTCGCCCACTCTCCCGCCCGCTCGCTCGCCCACTCTCTCGCCTGCCTCTCTCACTCTCCCGCCCGCTCGCTCGCTCGCCCACTCTTTCTCCCACTCACTCGCCCACTCTCTTTCCCGCTCGCTCGCCCACTCTCACAGCTCGGCCCCCCCCCCTCAAACTCACCCGCGGCTGCGTGGCCGCGTGGCCGCGTCCGCTCTCTGCGGCCCGTGAGATAAATCGCTCGCTGGATAAGCCGCACTTCCAATTTTCCACAACTCGTCCTCGGCGTTCAATTTAAAAGTCAAAATCTGAAAACCAATGAATTTTTTAGCGATGCCCCAGTGCTCTGCGCTCCGCCGCCACCGCCGTCGCGGTGTTTATAACGACTTTCATTTTTTATTTTCCCCACTGCAACTTTTTTTCTACATATATCCCCTCGGCCCCCCCTCAACCTCCGACGCCCCCCCCCCCCCACCCGGCCAGCTGCCCCGTACGAACCCCCGAGAGATGCCACGGCCCCCATGAGAATGTTCCCGCGGCTCCTGTTTGTGTCTCCGAGACTCTCCGACTGTGACTATCGCTGCGGTCCCAGAGTGCCGATCGCCAGCGCTCTCTAAAACCCAAGGGAAGTTTTTTTTCTTTTTTCCCCCGGGCCGAGCGAGGATTTTGTCGCCGTTTAGATTTTCATGCCTCCCCCCCCCAGTGCCCCCCCCAGTGCCCCCCCCGACCAGTGCCCCCCCCCTAGTGCCCCCCCCCCAGCCGCCGAGTTATTTTCCGCTTCGCCGAGTGGCGCTTCCGGTGCGGGCGTTGATTGATTTTGTTGAAACTTAATTGATGCGTTCCGCTGTGGAGCGGTGGAAGTTGGAAGTTTATTTTATTTACCGATTTATTTATTTCAAGCGCCGTTTGCTGAGCCAGCACAGGGCTCAGACCCCCTCCCCCCCCCCCCCATGCCCTAAGCTGCCAGCAACAAGCAGCACGGCTTGCGATGTATCGTTCGTGTTCTTGAGTTGAGCCAAGGTTTTGCCGCGACACCTTAGGGGAGGTGGGGGGGGGGGGTGACGATGACGGGAGGAGAAGTTATTGTAAAGTGGAACAGTGAGAGGGAGGAAGCGGAGAGAGAAGTGAGGTGACCTGCAGTGTGGTGAGTGGGTGGGTGAGGGGGTGAGTGAGTGGTAGGTGAGTAAGTGTGTTGTTGTGACCTGCAGTGTGGTGGTTGATCACAGTGTGGTGGTGGTGGTTGATCACAGTGTGGTGGTTGATCACAGTGTGGTGGTGGTGGTGGTCGATCACAGTGTGGTGGTGGTGGTTGATCACATTGTGGTGGTGGTGGTTGATCACAGTATGGTGGTGGTGGTGGTGGTTGATCACAGTGTGGTGGTGGTTGTTGATCACAGTGTGGTGGTGGTGGTGGTGGTAGTTGATCACAGTGTGGTGGAGGTTGTTGATCACAATGTGGTGGTGGTAGTTGATCACAGTGTGGTGGTGGTGGTTGATCACAGTGTGGTGGTGGTGGTTGTTGATCACAGTGTGGTGGTGGTGGTGGTGGTTGATCACAGTGTGGTGGTGGTTGATCACAGTGTGGTGGTGGTGGTTGATCACAGTGTGGTGGTGGTGGTGGTTGATCACAGTGTGGTGGTGGTGGTAGTTGATCACAGTGTGGTGGTGGTAGTTGATCACAGTGTGGTGGTGGTGGTAGTTGATCACAGTGTGGTGGTGGTAGTTGATCACAGTGTGGTGGTGGTTGTTGATCACAGTGTGGTGGTGGTAGTTGATCACAGTGTGGTGGTGGTGGTGGTTGATCACAGTGTGGTGGTGGTGGTTGTTGATCACAGTGTGGTGGTGGTGGTAGTTGATCACACTGTGGTGGTGGTGGTTGATCACAGCGTGGTGGTGGTGGTGGTTAGTTGTTGATCACAGCGTGGTGGTGGTTGTTGATCACAGTGTGGTGGTGGTTGTTGATCACAGCGTGGTGGTGGTTGTTGATCACAGTGTGGTGGTGGTGGTGGTGGTTGTTGATCACAGTGTGGTGGTGGTTGTTGATCACAGTATGGTGGTGGTGGTAGTTGATCACAGTGTGGTGGTTGTGGTTGATCACAGTGTGGTGGTGGTGGTGGTGGTCGATCACAGTGTGGTGGTGGTTAGTTGTTGATCACAGTATGGTGGTGGTGGTAGTTGATCACAGTGTGGTGGTGGTGGTGGTTGATCACAGTGTGGTGGTGGTGGTCGATCACAGTGTGGTGGTGGTTAGTTGTTGATCACAGCGTGGTGGTGGTAGTTGATTACGGTGTAGTGCTGGTAGTTGATCACAGTGTGGTGGACAAGACATTGTCAGGTCGAGGAGTCGAGGAGTGAAATCCAGTGGAGCTGTAACCATGGCAGTCGAGGTAGAAGGGCGACTGACCGCCGCTGAGCGAGGAACCGAATTGAATCAGCGGATGAAGCGGAGTTTATATTTTATATATTTCTAATTTTATACATATATTTTATATATTTCTAATTTTATACATATATTTTATATATTTCTAATAGAACATTTCTATATCATATATATTTGTAATTAACTGAGCAATCATTGCGGTGTAGAAAAGATGCGAGGACAACTCCCACAAGCGGATTGTCACAAGCAAGAGGTTGTCCATGGGTGTATTGAAGCCATGGGTATGAAGTGTTAACTACCTTGTCCCCTGCTATGCAGGAGTTCGTGGGTTCAATCTCGACCCTGACGCCTGCTGTTTAGTTGGAGTTCGCTCTCTCTCTCTCCCTGTGGTTGCGTGGATTTTTCTCCCGGGTCCTCTGGTTTTCCCCTCCACATTTATAATCAGCATGCGATTAGAGTGCTTTGCTACGATTAATTTCTATATGATAAGCCACTTTGCTGAGCTTTCCGTTGTGCCCAGGAGGCTTCTGAAAAAGAGCTGTATAGCTTAGTGTGCCTTACATGGTAAAATAAAAATAGTTGAGTTTATATACACACAATATATATACAGTATATAGAAAGTATATGTATATACACACGTGTGTTTGTGTGGGAAGGCCCTCATCCAGCAGTGGATTAACAAAAGGGCTGCAGAGGTCTGCGTGACCGATGGGACGTGGACAACACAATATATTTATTTATATAGAGAGAAGGTCAGGAACGCAGTCTCCCACCCTGAAAGTGGCGGCGTAGGCGCGATGTTCCCGCATCACGTGGGGTGTGGTGATGTTCCCGCATCACGTGGGGTGCCGTGATGTTCCCGCATCACGTGGGGTGCCGTGATGTTCCCGCATCACGTGGGGTGCTGTGATGTTCCCGCATCACGTGGGGTGTGGTGATGTTCCCGCATCACGTGGGGTGTGGTGATGTTCCCGCATCACGTGGGGTGCTGTGATGTTCCCGCGTGGAGACACGTGGGGTTCCGCGATGTTCCCGTGCGCCCCCCTACCTGGTCCCCCGCCCCTCCGCTGAAAGATTGTTTTTGGGAGCGGGGTCTTCCCGGGAGGGGGGAGCGGGGGGTGTGGGGGCGGGGGGCGCTCGGTCTCGTCCGCGTTTGCGGTGCTGGGCTCTGCCCCGGTACCTTGACCCTGTGACCGTGCCCCACAATGCACTGCCCTGGTGGTCGTCCAGGTAACTCGGCGGCAGAGCGAGCGGTTCGCGATCATTGGCAAGGCTGCGATGTCCACATCCCGGTCGGATTGACTCGGCCCATCATCCCTGTGTCCGGGGTCAATAAAATCGGTCTTATGTATAGCCTAACCCCCCCCCCCCCCCCCCCCCGACATAGGAATGTGGAATTTCCAGCACCACTGGCTCAGGGCTGTAAAACGGGAGGCGAGCGCAGTGTCTCGTCCCTCGTGAGCGCGCCACTCCTTAACTCGTCAACAACTCGTCAACAACTCATTAACTCATTAACTCATTAACCTCTCAACCCCCCCTCCCCCCTTCCTCTTCCTCCCCCCCCCCCCCCGCCCCCCCCCCCCCACCACGGCAGACGGCGTGGCCGAGGGAGCGTCTCCGGCGCACCAGACGGGGCCCGCGCGGCGTGGGCACGCCCCGCGGGCCCCCCACCGCGGGGGGCTCCTCACCGTCATGGCCTCCCTGGCCGTGCCGCCGCTGCTGCTGCTGCTGTTGCTCGGGTCGTAGCGACCGCCGCCCCTGGCAGCGGCGGAGCGCGGCGGAGCGAAAAACACAACCCCAAGACGGGAAAACAATCCGAACTCGGTGGCGCGACCGCGCGCGCCGTGGACCCGCGTGGGTGGGATTGGCTCGACCGTGAGGATTTGGCGAACGACGGCGGGGAGACCCTGGCTGGAAGGGGACGAAGCGCGCCCGGCACGCTCGTGGGGCCGGAGAACGCTCTCGCCCGACGCTGGCACCCGACGCGAGAGACGCGTCCGGCGGCCCGGAGCAGCGACGACGCCGGGCGGGCGGCCCAACGCCCCCCCGCGCACGTGCGTGGCGGTGGAGGGGCGGCGGGGGCGGGCGGCGGGAACTCTACGGGAGCAGAGCCAGAGCGAGGGGGCGGGGCCCCTGCTGTTGGGGTTCCTGACGAAGCCCTCGCGAGCGTCGTGGAGTGACGGGCGGCCGGAGGGGCCGGGACGCCGCGTGAAGCGAGCGCGCGTCTGTGCGTGCGTACGCTTGGTCCGAGCGCCGTGGTTTATTCGGTTTTTTTTTATCGCCGCCTTCCACCGAAACAAAATGCCCTTCGCGGTGAAAGCCGCCGTCGCCGTGGAGACCCGTGGAGAGCGGCGGGGGTCGCGGGGTCAGGGGGTTCCTGAGTGGGGAGCGTGAATTCTGTTGGCAGGGCGGGGGGGGGGGGGCATTAATGGAGTGGTGGCGGCAGTAGCGGTGGAGGAGGAGCGCGGGAGCGAGAGGCCGTTCCTCTCGGCGGGGGGGGGGGGGGGGTGCCGAGACAGTTCGACAGTTCGACATTTGAGAGTCGCTCGTGAAGAGAGAGAGAGAGAGAGCGTTCGTGACTAAAGACGCAGAGGAACAAAAACTATTTTAAAAAACCACTTGTACAAAAAAACACTCGAGGAGACGAAAAAAAAATCCCGCGAAAGGCCAAATGCTGAGAGCGCCTCATTAGCGGCGGAGGCTTGGGGTGAGGCCCAGCCGCTCACAGGACGGCGAGAGTGAGGCCCAGCCACTCACAGGACGGCGAGAGTGAGGCCCAGCCACTCACAGGACGGCGAGAGTGAGGCCCAGCCACTCACAGGACGGCGAGAGTGAGGCCCAGCCACTCACAGGACGGCGAGAGTGAGGCCCAGCCACTCACAGGACGGCGAGAGTGAGGCCCAGCCACTCACAGGACGGCGAGAGTGAGGCCCAGCCACTCACAGGACGGCGAGAGTGAGGCCCAGCCACTCACAGGACGGCGAGAGTGAGGCCCAGCCACTCACAGGACGGCGAGTGTGAGGCCCAGCCACTCACAGGACGGCGAGAGTGAGGCCCAGCCACTCACAGGACGGCGAGAGTGAGGCCCAGCCGCTCACAGGACGGCGAGGGTGAGGCCCAGCCGCTCACAGGACGGCGAGAGTGAGGCCCAGCCACTCACAGGACGGCTAGAGTTAGGCCCAGCCACTCACAGGACGGCGAGAGTGAGGCCCAGCCGCTCGTGGGACACGGAGGGTTTCCACGCCGCACGGATGGAAACTGTCGGCGTTTTGGGGACGAAAAGGGGAGGCATCTGCATTGAGCGCCGTGGCCACATGGGGTCCATGATCTGAACGCCGCTGACCCCTGACCCCTGACCAGAACTCTAATCGGTGTCACCTCACTTGTATCGACTCTCGATTGTTCCGTCTCGTCGGTACAGTGGCGTTCGCTCGTTTAGCCGCGGAGGCTCGGGGGGAAGACAAAGTCTGGAGGGAACACAAAGTCTGGGGGGGGGGGGGGGGACACTTTACGCGTGGGATTTTCACGGAACCATGGACGAAGTGTCCCGTCCTCACGCGCGGGGCACGATCGCTAGGGTCGAGTTAATCGGCCGATCGAGGACTCGTCTGCTGGAGGTGCTTCCTGGAGGGGGAGCCCCCCCCCCCCCGCCCCCATCCCCGCTTCAGACAGCAAACATCACCGTGACTCTCAGACGATGCGGGTTCGGGCTGTACACCCGGCCCCGTTATTCGGAGCCGCACGACCGGCGAGAATCCCTCCCACCTCCCCCGCCCCTCCCCCATCCCTCCCCCATCCCTCCCCCATCCCTCCCCCGTCATCCACCAGGAGAGACATAACAGAGCGCCGGGCTCAGCTTTGGTGTAAACATCAAGGACGTCTCGCCCAAAGATACCCGACCTGGGGCGAGCGGTGACATCACAATCAGGCCGGGCCTAAAGAATAATTCCCCATCCCTCCGCCCGCATCCTTCCCCCTGGACAAAGAGATCGCATACACAACGCGTGTGTCTGTGCGTGTGTCTGTGCATGTGTGCGTGCGTGCGGGTGTCTGTGTGTCCGCGCGTATAGTTTGAGAGAGAGAGGGGGGGGGAGAGACGCGACGGCGCTGTCGTCTCGTGTCGTGAACAAGGGTGCGGAGTGACGGACGAGCACTTGCGGGCGTCGGGAGGTCACGCGGGACAACGACACGGAAGCCGTTGATAGAGATTCAGAGAGATTCAAAGAGAGATTGTCAAGAGACGCATCGAGCGTGGGGTCACGGCCAGGGAGGGCGGACCGCTGGCTGGGTGGGTGGCTCAGCTGGTCAAGTGGCTGGGTGGCTCGGGCTGGTGGCTATCTATAGGTGGTTGGTTGGCTATCTGGTTACCTGGTTGGCTGTAGGTAGATAGCTGAGTGGCTGTGTAGGCAAGGAGCCTGACTGGCTAGCTGCCTGGTCAAGTGGCTGGCCATGTGACTGGTTGACTACCTGACAATGTATATATCTGGATGACGAGCTCGTTGACTGTCTGGCTGCCTGCCTGCCTCCCTGGCTAGGTCACTGGCTGAACATCTGCCTAGATAACTGGCTGGCTTGTCAACTGGCCAGGTGCTTGCCTGCTTACTTGTCTGGGTGATTGGCTTGATTATAATTATGTGACTAAGAGGGTAGCTACCTAGTTACCTGCCTGCCTCGCCGTCTGCCAGCTTGTCTGCTTGGCTGGCTACCAGGCTGCCTGGCAAGGAAACTGGCCGGGCGAGTGGGGTTGGCCGTGTGCATCACATGATGCCACTCAGCTTGAGAGTTTGTGAGAGAGCGAGCAAGGGGGGGGGTGAGAGGGAGGAGAGAGATTACATCTGATAGCCATCGCTCGGGCGGCCGGGTGAGTAATCCGCTGCGTGTCCGTTGAAAACAAAAAACACGTCCCCTAATCGAATTATCTCTCTCTCTCTCCACGTTCTCCCCACGCTCCGTGCCGGTGGGAACTGGTTGCCGCTGGAAGCTGATCTGTGGGTAGTGGCAGTGGCCCCGGGGGCGAAACTATACCTGGCGGGGGCCATTCGCTCGCGGCTGTTGCCATACTTCGAGACAAAAGTATTCGATTTTAGAGAACTTATTTATTTATCCCCCCACGACAAAACAAATGCCCTCAGATTTTTTATTGAATTGGTCTGCCTTTCGTTTTAGGGCTGTAGACCAGAACCCGGGACACGTGTCTCTATTAAGTTTATCTCACCGGGTAAGGCCCACTGTAAGCCGTGTTGCTCTTTCTCAGAAGCGACAAATGATAGCTCAACAAAGTAGCTTACCACCTGGACATTTATAGCAGCCAAATACTCTAAACGCGTGATGTTGATTGTGAATGTGGAGCGGAGAAAAACCCCACGCGATCACGGGGAGAGAGATCCAGGCATCAGGGTCGGGATCGAAGCAACGACCTCCTGCATACCAGGCGAGGTAATTAACATCTCCTAGCCACCGAGGCACCCATAGGTCGCTGTGCACGCAGTTGTGCAGCAGACGGCCTTCAGTCAGCCCCAACCCCCGGCCCTCCCAAACTCCCTCGCACACCGGAGTTGGGATGAGCCACTCCTACAGCGGGTTCCGTGGACTGAACCAGGATTTCGAGTGTTGGCTGCTGTCGGTTTCCACGTGATAAGCCGGCTTCGTTAAGTTATCATTTGTGGCCAGGTCGCGTCTGAAGAATAGCTACATAGCTCAGTGTGCCTTACTTGGTATCATAAAAGCAGAACCAGGGCCCAAATTATTCACTGAACACAGAGAAAAAGAGGAACAGAGACACAATGCGATGATGAATTTGGAGCCGCCCAGAACTCCGCCGTGTATTATAAACAACGTTTTAAAGAGGGGCCGGCGAGATGATAGCAACATCCCAGGACAAAGCCCAGCTCCGAATTTGGCAGCAGCAGCAGCGAGCCACAGCCGCTCAGTTGTGGTCACAGGCCACAGGCCCAACTTCATCTCTCTGTGTGGGGGATGAGCGGTGGCGCGGCGGTTAGCGCACTGCGCTCCGAACCCGGCTGCGACCCGAGTTTGATTGACCGCTCGCGACCGAGTGCCCGTGAGTTATCTTGAACCGGTTTCTTGGCCTCCCCTCCTAGGTCGACGCAGACTTCATAATGAGTACCTGGTGCGGTGTGTGTACACGTGTGTGTGTGTGTGTGTACACGCTGTGTGTGTGCGCGTGTGTGTACGTGTGTGCGTGTGTGTGCACACACGTGTGTACGTGTGTGTGTGTACACGTGTGTGTGTACACGTGTGTGTGTGTACAGAAACAAACCCCATCAGCACTGGGGAGACAAAGGCGGTCGGCCGTTGGTGTTAGCCACACCACCACCACCACCCTCCCCCATGTCATTCGTGCATCGTGTGGCCTTCATAGGTGCTCGCTCATGGCACTTGCCCTACAGCCTGGTCCAAGGTTACCTGGGGGGGGTCTTTGTGTATAGAGAGATATATCAAGATACAAAAAGGAGTAATGCACTTTTTTTTTAGACACGACATCAAAAAGAGGCGCTTTTGAACTTAAAGCTTCGGGTTTTGCCTAACAAGACGTTTCATCGGTAAAATGTTGTACATATTTTGTAATAATAAAAAAACAACTCGCTGTTTCTCTCGAGAATTGTGATTTTTTTTTGGGGGGGGGGAGTGGGGGCGGAGTTGTGGGGGCGCGGGGTGGGGGCGCGGGGTGGGGGCGGGGTTGTGGAACTTTTTTTGGGGGGGGGCATGCGTGTGTGTGTGTACACGTGTCTGTGTGTGTACACGTGTCTGTGTGTGTACACGTGTCTGTGTGTGTACACGTGTCTGTGTGTACACGTGTCTCTGTGTGTACACGTGTCTGTGTGTGTACACGTGTCTGTGTGTGTACACGTGTGTGTGTGTATGGCAAAACAACCCCCTACCTCCTCGTTGGTGCCGGGCGGTAACGTTGTGGTGAGCAGTGCTATGGGGGGAGGGCCAATTTCGATTCACCATTCCCCTCATGGCGTTTGTATCCACCACAGCGGCCAAAGGGGGCTCTGGGCGGGTGCGAGGGGCTGGTAACCCCTCCACCTTCAATTAATTACCACTAAACCATTGATGCATGCCGGGTCCAAGCAAGAACATCTGCTGGACTACATAGTGATGGAATAGCGGATGCGGGGCCATGTGCTTGACACAGGACCTACCGTGGAGCTGATCTGCTGGCCGACCATCGACTTGTCATCTGCATTCTTCCACTCTGGTGGTGAGTGTTCCACCCATGACCCCATTCAAACCGATAGTGGCCTGGTCTTAGCTGGCTGATGAAAGTTGCAAGTGAGAATTTCATCATCGCTTGTAACTGGGGTTGGCATCATCCCCCAATCCTCCTGATGTCTATGGG